GAATTAACAAAAAAAAGAGCTGTATAGCTCAGTGGGCCTTACCTGGCAAAATGAAATAAAAGACAGTTTAATGGTTTAAATTAGTACAAGAAAGCAAGGGAGCAGGCAAGGCGGCATTGAACTCGCCGCCTTACGCGGCTCAATAGGCAGCACCGAAACGAGCCTGGACTCCTCTATTAAGGCTCGGGGCTTTTAACGGATCGGAATAAACGGCACATCACGCCATAGCACACCGCGTATCGGCAGGGGAGTTGCGCGGACGTGTTGATGATGCAGGTGAGCTCGCGAATGTCATACCGCCACCGTCTCCCCCCCCCACCCCCCCTCGTTTGTTAAAAAGCATTTCTGAATGTATTTCTTTTTTTTGTTTTGTTTGACAAGGTTAAGTGAGTTTTAAAAGTGCTGATGTAAAAAAAAAGAATGTGCGTTTGAATTGATTTAAGCTGATTTAATATTTTTTTTGTTTGCCGTAGCAGTGGTAACTTGAGTCTGTTATAAGAGGAATTAGTGGTGGGTAGTATGACAGCAAGCTGGTGGTCATCAAGGCATAACTTGAAAACAAATGATATGCAACACAGGACACAACAGTACTATGGATAAAATAATGAAGTATTTTTTTTATAAAAATACAAGATAAATGGATCAATAATTATCCAGCAGGAAATTCAGTCATGCTGAGTAAATAATAATAGTCATAATAAATTATTATACACACGTACATTTAAAGTAGTATATAATTGTTAGAGGACTGTAAATGTATGCTCTCATGTTTATGTAGTGGTTGATTTCACTGGGACAACTTGTCTTTCTTCCAACCCCACTTTATTTACAGTTCTCCACATGTCCTCAATGCTCCACAGTTCCCTTGTTGCCATAGCTCACTTGCCGTGCTTCACTCGACTCGCTCGCCGTCTTTGTCTCTCCAATCTCTACTTCTCCATCAGTTCCGATGTCTCTGTGCTTCCCCCACTACTGGCTGCTTCGTCTCTGCTCCCCGCTCTCCGCTATCACCGTGTTCTCTCTACTGTTAACTGCTTCGTCTCTGCTCTTTGCTCTCCGCTATCACTGTGCTCTCTCCACTGCTAACTGCTTCGTCTCTGCTCTCCGCTATCACTGTGCTCTCTCCACTGCTGGTTACTTCTCTCTTCAGCTGCTCCACATCCTGCCTCGTCCAGCCCCCGACTCCAACTCCCGTTTCTCCTCGCGTCTCCCCAATTTATCCCCGCTCTCATTACATTCCAATTAATTAACCCGCGTCCTAACAACGCTCCTCGTGCCCGTGCGCCTGTTACCTCGCCAGACTTCAAGACGCCACTTCAGCCCTGACAAAAACACCAGCCAATCACAGCCTTCTTTGGCTCCCCCAGCTTAATTGGCCCAATCGTTACCTCTTCGTCCCAATATGACCCCTTACTATCCTGCTCCCGGGCAAACTCACCAATTACCCCCATGCGCCTATTTATTCCACTACATCTATATTGAATTCAAATGAACCATCAACATTGATAACGTATACACACAAATATAAAAAGGCTTCAAGGTTAACCTGCACAGCTCTGGATTTCTTTTTTTATAGGTGAATTAAACTTACTGTATTCTTCAAGAAATTGCCCTGCACACTTTATCCCCATCATTGTTGTAATTAATTAACGGTGGAGGAATATAATTGCTTAGGACATGCATACGTCTGCTTCAACGTCCTCATCACTTTTTTCACTGGCTCGTGTACATTTTAAAAGTCTCGTGCGCCACTCAACGTACACTTCTAGGTGAGGCACAGATAACCTGGACATTGCATCTGCTTTAACATGTTCCCCCACCAGAAACTTCATCACAACTGTTCACTTCCATCTTCCAAATACCCAGAATGCTTTGCACAGCTGTGTCGTCAACTCGCAGAGTAGTTGCCAGATGTTTATATTTCCACTTTGCACATTTTTTTAATCAATGTAATTCTTTAATGATGAAAACATACGTATAATAAATTTACAGCACTTTGTAAATCCACTGCTGGATGAAGGCCCCTCACCCCCTTCCCATTGTGTTGATCATGTTTTTTCTTACCAAACTTCGCCACACTGGTCAGTATTGATGGCTGAATGGGTGGAAGCGGTTTAAATATTACTTGCTGATGATGTTAGCTGTGACCGGAACTCCAGCTCAGGTCACCAGGTTCCTAGTCCAGTGCGTTAACGACTGTGCCACTGTTCCACCTGCTTTACTATTGTCGAGAGCAGCGGTGCTGAACATTTGCTGCAGCCTTGTACCCCTTTGGTTCTCGATAGTTAAACAAATGATGTTAATAAATACATAGAAGGTTTGATGAAACATGTAGTTGTACATATGTGCCCGTGCTTAATTTGTATTTCGATTATTTACCGTCTAAAAAAAATCATCCGGCCATGTCTCGCACACCCAGAAAGGGCATCTCGCACCCCCAGGGGGTGCGTGCACCCCAGATGAAGAAACAGTGGTCTAGATAAAAAAAGTGCAGGTTATCCATGAAGCAACCTTGTGAATTTTTTTTTAAACATGTATGGTGACCCGACCGACGGGGTTTCAAAGGTCCACACGAGATGCAGCACGCGTGGGTCACTTATGAATAATGCCTTAATAAATGTCCAGGTGAGACATTCAGTCGACGTTGTGAGCCGCCTGATTTTTTTTGCAAGTGGTGTTTTGAAAGACGGCGCCACGTTTAAACGCGTCCCATTCGTGGATAAGAACGTCGATGAAACACCGATCAAATAATAACTGAGAGCGCGGCACTATGAACCCAGCTGACCAGCGTTTGATTCTGTGCCACGGCTGACATCAGCGGCAAATTGTTTCTCACTCGGTTCTTCAACCTGCACGGACCAACGTGGTGAAGTATGGTCACAACAACCCCATAACAGGCACATCATAGGGAGACCTTCACCATACGGCAATAGATTAATACACAATGGCATCAGTGAACGTTATTATATAACTGAACGACGTTACAATGACGACAGAAAACCCCATAAACGCAACTCAACGAAAACAGCACGAACAAACGATGCCACAGTGGCTTGTAACAAACACAAAAAAAACACGTGCTGCTATGTACAGGCCTAAAGAAGCACCCACGATTATCCCGAAAGAGCGAACTTTCGTCCAACTGTTTAGCATAACACAGTAGGCCACTATTTGCCAGGGTGAGGTTATGAGCTGTTGGCTGCCACCACCACCCCCACTGCTCTCTATGCCCCCCCCCCCACCCCCTAAATAAACAATTAAATAACCCAAGAAAGGAAATATAAACAAACCGAAGTGAAAGTGGTCGGTCGCACCGGCCGACGCTGCCCGTTCAGACTCCATGGGAGGCGTGCTCTGGCCAGGGGTGTGCCAGGGCCGCGGAGCGCCCGAACGGCAAGAGGCCCTCTTCCTCATTAAATCGCAATTTGGTCGACTTGTAAAAGGGGGCGGCTGGCGAGGAGCACAACTCGGAAGGGGGCCTGGTGGGCGCTCCATTTGCCAGCCACTAGCGCCATTTACCGCCATATGTTTGGCCCTGCCCAAACGCAGTGCTGCAGAGAAAAGGGGTCGTGTCACCATATGCGAGGCACGAAAACTTGGGAAAGACTAATGACTTGGCACCAAGGCCTGCTTTTTTGGCTGTTCAATTATCAGAGAAAGCTGGCCTCCTTGTTTTGTGCTATGTGTAATTAATCACATCCTTCCCTTAGTGCGGTGCGTTGCAATGATTATTAATTTTATTCTGCATGTAATGGTTTTGACCCAAGAGTCTGAGCTAAGAAGCTGAAATGCATGATGTCTTGCAGGCTTTCTTTCAACGCATCAGCCTTTCCGGGCATGGGAAGAGGGCTTATTTTATTTTTTTTCCCGCTCGTTTCCTTCGAAATTGAATGAGAGAAATAAGTTAGCTCGCTGTTACAAAACAAAAGCAAAAAAAATAACGACAACTTCCCCAACCATTCCTTTCCGGTTATGTCACCAGCAAAACAGCGCTTCAGTATTTTTCACGTATCAGACGGATGTACGCAATATCGCTTACACAATGAAAAAGTGTGTCAAAGTGAAATTAGATAAATTGCATTTTGCCTTGTGACCTCAGTTTAAATAAAACAAAAGTCAGTGCTCACATCCAAACCTCAGGTTGAGTTTCAGGAAAAGACAACGCCAAAAGCAGAGGAAATTGATAAGCAATTGAGCGTTGGGTAACATTACAACAAGGTCAGGCGTTTGAACTCGGAGGATTTCGCGACCAATATCATCCATTATTATGGAAGGTCAGGAATGCAAATGCACAACTTCCTACACTCGCGCAGCACTGGCAGAGGATGCCCCATTAACGCAGTCGTCCACTGAGTGATTCGAATGTTCTCTCTGATTATTTATATACATATTTTGTTTAACATTCAACCCCCCCCCCCCCCCCTCAATTGTTTACCCCGATTGTCCCATCGGTGGTATGTCACGAGACGGACCATACATTCGGATCTCTCGCAGAGCAGTGCAACCCTTCGTGTTTGAGAACGGCCCGTGGAAGTGGATATCACAGAGCTGCATCCGAGATCATTCCTTTCAGTGACCCCTGCTCGACACAGTGGAGGGCAGCACTTGCCCACCTGCTTTGCCACTGTGAATATTTTTGTTTGTCGCATGACAGTAATATTGCTATTTTAATTTGTACAGCCACGTTTAACATGGTGTTTTGTGCAGTCACTTGCGACCGGGCTGACACCATCGATGCACTATCCTGAGAGCCTGGTTTAATCACTGGCAGGATTGAAACCCAGGTTCTCAGTGGTGCTGGCTCAGCGCCCTACCTGGTTTCAATTCCGAGGCTTTCAGCAGGGCAAACCACCCATCCGCAGCTTGTTATTTATTTTAAAGTAACCTCATTCACGTGCAAAGGTAGGAAGAAGAGCAGCGGTGTATTTTAAGCCAGTTAAGTCTTTAACGAGACATCATTTCTCTTTCTCCGAAGAAAGTTGGTGCGTTTCTTTTTACAGGCTGTGGCTATCTGCAGGTGCTTCCTCTGCCTCCTGTTCCCAAGGCTGTCCTGGCTCCTGCTGTGCGGCCGCAATCAGCACAAGGACAGCGAGGTACAGGCAGCGGGCAAGGCACACAGCGAAAATATTGCGTGTGAAGGCCACTGCGATTCATGCCAAGCAACTTGCGCTGCCACTCTTGCTTCTGACGTTCTCATTTTGCGTCTTCCCCTGTCCGCGGCCAACATATCTCATCCCACCCACACTGCCACCATTCCATCACCCTTTGAAAGTTAAGAAAAAAAGGTGACCTAACCAACCCATTAAGCAGAGCCTTATATATTACCTTGAGGTATCATGCAAATGTAACCGGGTGGGAAATTCAGGGCTGTAGCAAAGTGAAGGGCCAGCCACACACACGCACGCACACGAACACATACTCTTGGAGGATACGTAGGGAAATGAAGAGTGAGCTCAGAGCAGTATTTTACATAAACTGCTCTGTTCATGTATTGTTAATGGAGTAGGCTGCTAGGCAAATATGGCCATTATACGATATAAATCGGATGTTTTTCATTGCGCGAAATCAATAAGTAATTAAAAGCAGGTCAAGCTTTTTCGGAGACGTCCAGCAATGGATGTTCATAAAGCAGTCCTGTTTGCAACACATTCATCATTTTTGAATTTTATTCTTTACAGTAATCACCACGTCAACAACACAATGATTTTACTTCGACATTTTGTATTTTAGCTACGAGCTAAACAAGTTAAAGAAGAAAAAAACCTGCTTGTGTTACATTTGGAAGGAATTTCTCAAATCCCTGTCCTGCAAAGAAAAGTAATTTGACCATACGGTAACCAGTTGTTTAATATATTTATTTTTGCATTGTCTTATTATGTCAGCTAAACTTTCTGATGCTACATTAACAATTTATAACCATAATTATTAAGATGGTATAATATTGCCTGCATATTACTTGGCAGCAAAAGAGGATGTTGTTTTCCATTCCAAAACTAACACACAAACATGTGTTTTTTATTATCCATACTAGTTTGTGGTTTTTCGAGGATCCCGTTACTGTTAAAATTAATAATGCTCTCAAGTTGATTTCAACTGGCAAAGTAAACTTTGGAACATTGTGCTGCAATATTCACCAAACCATCACAAGACACAACAAATATATATTTTTAAACGAAACTAGCTTTAAGAAAAGACTTGCAAAGCACAATCCCATAATAGCACGGCATGCCAATAGCCCTTACTATTCCCTTGGTCTCGGATAGAAAGTAAACAACTTTTGGATGCTATGAACATAATAAATTCCTAGTTCTTATATTTCCGAGGCTCATTGACAGGAATGTGATTATAAATGTTGCATTCTCAATTGCTCCATCTCTCGATCATGTACGCGGCGGTCTCGGCAGAGTGTATTACTGAAGAACAGCACAGGTCCAATTAGCATTTGTTCAATTTGTTATGTACAATTTAAATAAAATGCCGGCTTCACCACTGTCACTCCACCACAACGAAATAATTAAAATAACACATTCGCCATTAAAAAAACACATTTTAGACAACTATATCATACTACATGGGTCAAATATTACTCGAAATGGTGTGCAGCAAAGGACAATGCAGCAAAAGCCACTGTTGTACGGTACTTCTATGTTCCCACTATATGTACCCCGCCTTCACCAACCCACACTGACCGGTGTGGTCAAGTATGGTCAAATAGCCCTCGCGAGTCACACGGTTGTGGGGAGGACCTCATCCCGCAGCGGATTAAAAACAAAAAGGGCGAGAGCTATGATGTAAAGTGCCGATAAAAAACATCATCAGTAAGGCAAACTCAAATATCCCGAGACCAAACAAGTGCATTGCATAAACGTGGCTGGCGCGGTGACTGTGGGACGTTTGCGTGAACGTACGAGTTGGAGGCGGGTGAGAGGTGGGTTGACGCTAATTTTGCTGGGTGGTGGTAGTTTTAATTTTGTCACATCTGCCAATAACTCATCCGAGCCTCACCGAGAGACCGACAATGGGCAGCCAATGGGCAGTCTTGGCAGTCACGAGAGCGGATCGATTTGGCTGTGTATGGTGCAGGCTGCAGGGCGGAGTTTTTTTTGTTGGTCCTGTTTAATGCGGATACTGTAAATTGCCATGCAGGCGCTTTCACCAAAGTGAAGCCCTCCCTTCCACACAGCGGCGGCCGCAGTGGTGTGGTTGGTGGTGGCAGGGGTAGTGTGGCAGGGTCCCACCCCTTGTTCGTGATTGATGGCTGGACTCAGGCAAGGTCAGCTGACAGGAAGCCAAGGGGCAGGGTTAGAGTTCGCTTCCCCCATACCTTTATTCCCCGGCTGCAGCTGAAGGTGATTTATGGCTCGTACAGCGGATTCCGTGGGGGCCCGTTCGTGCCTCTGTTAAAGAAAGAGGATAGAGGAACGGAGGTGGGGGGGGGGGAACGAGGGGGTGGGGGGGACAGAAAAAGGGAGGAAAAAAGAAAGGGCCTTCACTTCATTTTCAAACGCTGCAACAAAAAAAGTGATTGAGGAGAGTCCAATCAAATAACGAAATGTCACTCATCGGCGGCGTGCACAAATGGGTTATTATAAATCACCGTGTCAAAGGCAATGGGATGATTTCATATAGAGCCCTGCTGAAATATTGGTGTATTAAGTTACAGCATGCCGGTTCTAATATTACAAAAAAGGCCCAAATGCAGGAAAACGCATGTTTTCTAGGGAGAAACTCGCAGGAAATGTGTGAAAGATGACTGAAAAAATAGAAAATAAGGAACCTCACAAGTTAAAACGTGTATTTTCCCCATTCTTCACTGTGATTAATCCACATTATTCTAAATGTAGCTTAATGTTCACGGCAATTGACCCCATTACAGTGATTTTCAAAACGTAATAAGTCATTTGATTACGTTTAATAAATATATTTTTATGGTATGAAAAAACAAGGTAATACAACTCAATTTTTCCACTTCTGTTTGCATCACAATAGCATCACGAGCCACTATTGAAAAAAAAATCAAAATTTCTTTCAAACTGTTTTAAAAACAAAAATCCCATAAAGCACCGGGTGAAAATAAACACTTCCGTTTTCACAAGCTCCCAGGTGCCGATGGCCATGTGCTTTTTTTTACAGTTACACGAATTCTCCACAAAAGCCCCTTCACGAAAAAAAGAGCAGAGGACCGGGCCCCCCCCCGCCTCCGTTCACTCGCCGTGGCTCAGCCTCGTACATCACTGTCGCGTTATTCGTGACAAAGCCGTTTATCAGTGCGCCTTTTTGGCATCATTTGAGCGGCTGGAGGAAGCAGATATGATATCCCATAGTGGGGAAACCTGGGAGGCACAAGGTCTGGGTTTGAGACCCCCCCCCCCCACCACTGAACGACAATTTGGGCCGTTAGCGACTGGACGCGATAGTTGTCCAAAAGGAAAATGTCGATAGGGGCGTAGAACGAGGCACCTTTGCACCTTTAAACTTTTATGTAATGCCGTCATTCCGTACTGACAAAAGGTGTGGGGGGGGGGATAAGAGAAAGTCTAAGCTATCTTTCTCTGAAAGTTAACAAAAAAAAGTGGCTTTAAGCAGTAACAGCTGAGCAAAAGTGATGAGATATGATTTCAAAAGTGTTACACAGAATTGTCTTGGCTCTTTGCTTGAACTTTGATGAGACGCACCTGCACTGAAATCCACATTACAAACGATTACCAGCATATGAAGGCATTTTAAAGGGAGGAAAAAAAGCTATAATTCAATCTGCGTGTTTCTAGAACATGCCAGAAATGGCACTTTCATGCAACGCAGTGCGTGGCGTTGCCGAACGGTCGCACGAAATGAAAAACCAAAAAAACTCGAGCAAGCAATTGAAAGGTACACGCTCTGCTTCGGTGTTTAACACACACACAAAATGTGCAGAACAGCATTGCATTGACAGGCAAGCAATGAATAACTATGCACAAACAACTTGCTTGTGATAGTATCATCCCATTATGGAAAAAGCTGAGAAGAAAAAAAGTGTCCGGCCATCTGTATATAATTAAGCTCGTTGGATGTGGGCCGACAGGGCCACACGAGCTCTCTCCATCCTCGCTGCGTCACATTTCATGGTAAATTTCATTTGACGTCGACTTGCTTCATTGCACTTGTCTTTCTTCCGCGTCCTGTTCGCCTTATGTCCCGTCTGTTTTGAACTATTTCACCAATTTATTTCAATTCCCCTGCCAATGCCCCGCCGTTGCTTTCATTGACCCAAAATATATCTTTCACCTCCATTTGTTAACTTTTGGATATTTTAGTTTTCATACATCTTTGATACTCTTGCTCCTTCATCTTTTTTTTAAATGCTGCTAACAAGCAAATGTTCCCGTATATTTCCACAAAAAAGGCGATGTGCATTAACATGAGCAATGTACACAGCCTCGAGTATTGGCATCAACCACACTGGCTAAAAACGCCAAGGACACCGATTTCAGTTTAGTTTACATGTAATCAATAAGAGCGACCAGACTTCTCAAAAGGCCGTGTAAAACATTCTTACGTTCACATGTTTATGAATACCAACCCTCCTCACTCCGCACTACGTTCTATCAAATTACTGGGGCTTTTTGGCAAAGCCTTGCGGGCAAGTCAGTGGGGAAGGGCTCTGCTTACTTTAGCCGATCGCGTTAATTGCAGAGGTCAAGCCTACGCGTTCAGAGTACTGCGGTCAAACCTTTATCCCCTTGCTTGCCGTGGTATAATGCCAAGTCTTTCCAGCGACCCACATCATGGCAGGAAGTTGCCCATTTAGTTTTTTTGGAATACCAAAGTAGAGTATTTCTCCTGGGTCAATCAATGTCAATTTTAAGGAGGCAACATTTTTTTTCGAGGCAAATGTTGCGGCAAATTAAATTAAAAACCAAAAAGGAAAAAATGATTTCGTTTATTGAAATTGTTGTACATGACTAGAGTATTTAAATGAAGTTTAGGATTTATCACCAAAATGAGAAATGTTTTGCACACATTTTATTAAAATCTTTTTTATTAAAACTCTCAAAATGTGTAATCAGCGATTAATTCAGGAAAATCCAAACAAAACACATACCAGGAGATATTCACCCTCACTTTAACAGTTTAAGGCATCAAGTTACAGAATGAATTATCCATTGCTGAACCCTGAAACCCTGACTGCAAATATATACACGTACCAACTTAAATCTCTGATTAAAGTTACATTATTTCAAAATTGTTAATGGATTATATTTGCCATTTCCAGCCTCAAAGTATTAAACGTTACTCTATAACTAAAATAACATATAAGTCTAGAGGAGAACAGAATAAGCTTCCCATACAATGTTGCAAATTACAATACTAGACTGCAGTACTCCAGTAAAACCAATTGACAATGAAAGACCAAAAATCTTTAAAAGAGCTGTTCATAACTGCATATCACGAATATACAATGCATACACAGCGCATGTCAGAGAAAGCTGTGTACACATTTCATCCTCATACATGGGGGCAATACACATCAGCTTATGCATGACAACTCTTAAGGTTACTGGCATTTTTTTTTATTAAAATGAATGTCTATGTAGTTAACTATAATTGATACTACTGCTTGTTTTTTTGCCTACTTAATAAATAATTGAACACATTGGCATTCACAATGAGGCTGGAAATGATTACTTCAGTGCATCGTCAATGCAAAGGACAGTATTTGAACATTAGACTCGAAGACAAAAGGGCCTGATCGGTATCTGGGCAGAATGACTTTCACTCCCAAGGAAAAGGTAGTATGCTCCCTTTCCCTTCTAGGATGACAGCATCGTGCCTAGAAGCCTCAAGCTCAGAATGTCAAAGCGTAAGGGATTTCCACCATAAGTCAGTTACATTATCCATGAATTTTCAATTGGAAAATATTTTGAAAAGTTCATTATTCTATCATGATCAGAATGTAAAGTAGCTTCAATTGAAAAAAAAACCTATTTATTACAGCCAATGTTACCATTTTGCATCCCTTAGTGTATTTTAGTTTGAGCGATTAAACTAAGATGATAAATTCCAATGTTATGTTTAAAGCTTATCAATTTGTTTTTCCAGATGAAGGGACATAGCATGGCAAAAAGTTAGATTGTTCACGAAATACTTTACATTTTTTTAATGGTTACAGTATACAGGTACGCTAATCAAATGCTTCAAAATGATTACTTAACAAATAAATCAAATGTATGGCGTACTATGCATAACGTTTCTCATGAAAAGCATTTGCACAGAAGCTGCTCAGCATCTGTAATTGTCGAATAGTACTACACTGCGCTCCTGTATTGACAAACACTACACCAGCAAATTACACTTGCCCTATTCCGTGACTGCATGCTAAAGCAGGGCACCAAGAACAGTAATTGTTAATATTCGCTAGTTTATAGACCATTTCAACATGTAACGTTTGATACCATTACCAAAGCCTAAGGGTCAACTGGCGGTGTACATATACACATCGCGGTATATATGCCAATAGGTGTATCCAACTTTCATCAAAAATTTACATGATTTGGGATGTTTTAGGTGTTGGTGACCTATACCTCAAATTATTTACTTTGTATTGGAAAGTGACTGACTTCTGAAAAAAAAATAGCAACTCATTAACATTCATAAGATTCATTACTTTTGGCCCAAAACCGTCATGTATATCGTATGCATCCGTAAATTCATGCGGGTGAAAAATAAAACAGGCTGTGTCGGCAAGCCATGAGACGAGTGACAAAATCAAACATACAGTAACGGTTGACCGGTGGGCAATTGTTCAAGTTCAATCCCTGGACAATGCTACGTAGGTGCTAACAAAGGCCATTTGCTCCCCTGTACTCGGAATTAAATAACCATACGTTTCACGTAGCGACTTGAACTATACTTTAAGATTAAAGAGATGAGGCCACGAAGAACAGAATATTTTGCACATGAGGCTTTTGAACGTTATCATTGTATTTGGAAAGGGTGCTGAAAAATTATCTGCTGTCGACTCCAAACGCCAGCAAAGTTTAAAACTGACATTTTTAATCCGCAGTAATTAACTGCTAGAGTAAAATTACAGTTGCACATGAACACAAACTTTACACTGAAACGTTGACTTGTCCATTTATAGCCCTGCGGAAACGGTTTTGGATATATTTAATTTTAAAGTAATTAAGCAGTGCATACACAATTGGGAGACAAGCATATATGTACTGAAGATAATATTGCTGCTCTAGCAACGATGACTCATCAGAATTAAGGAAACAAATCTGAACCGAGCAAGAATGTTAAAACTTTAGCTTACAGACCTTTATGAAGATGAGGATTTCATTAGGTCTGCCTGTCAAATATTGACTCTCTGCCTGCACAGTTCGTATGAAACATATTTAAAGCATGTATATATACCGCCCACGTGTGTGTATATATGTTTGTGTGTATGTGTCAGCATACATGTGTATACATTCAATTACACACACGCAAGCCTGTGTACATATATGCACGCAAATACATTGCAGACATGTACTATACATGTATTAGTAAATGGGAGGGGAAAATCTATAAACGGTAATCCCATCCCACGTTATTTTATTTTGTTTAGAGTATTATGAGGTTTCTTATATACAGGGTGTTTAAAAAGGATGGACCCAATTTCAGAGATATAGTGATTTCAAATCGGGTCCATCTTTTTAAAACACCCTGTATAATTTATAGCCATCCATCAACCAAGCCAAACATGTACCTAAAACCATTACTAAAACGGTCTGACCTACATTCAAAGCACTGATTTGGATATTATTGAAATCACTAAACAAACAACAAAAACATAAGTAAATTATTTATTTCCCATTTATCCACACCAAATGTATCAACCTCTATCCCATGAATAAGGCTGATAAAAATCTGCAAAAAAGCACTTAATGGAGCCGCAACTGATGTTTTAAATATTTTTTTGGAGTATACTGTTATTCTAAAAATGCAGAAAAATAAGCTCTGTAGTATTACCCAGTCTGATATTTTGCTGCGACTGTACATGAGGGCAAACCTATAATGACACCGATGTTAAAGCATGCCAGTGCTTCCTCCTCAGTTGTCCATTGAGACTTCCATTATAATTTGTTTTTCCCCCCATCACAAAAAAACACACTTTTATAACCGCAAAGAGCCTTCAAACGCTGCAGCCAATGACAAACATTTAAATAAGAAAATCATTTTAAGCAAATAAGCCAATCAAGTAAAATGCTATGCATCAAAATAAGTTGTGCAAGATTGCAAATAACAAAATAAAGATTGAAATCTACGGCAAATGATGATCACTTGAACGTAAAATCTGTACAATGGATGATGCTTGGAAGGGTAATGATTTACAAAATATCCCTAAAATTTATCTAAATATGGAAAAGCATGCAATTTCAATGTCAATCTTAACGTGTGTTCATATGAGTGGGCAATGGGACTTGCAAAGAGCAGTAGCCTGAGTAAGCACTTTGTATATGCGCATCTCATATTCATTATTTTACTTGATGAGCGTAGGTATAAATGGTTAGTGAGGAAGCATGAAACAATTGCATAAAACCCATGTACTGCCAACGTATTTCATTTATTAATAAAAAGTTTATACACAAAACAACCATATTTGCACCTCTTTACCCAAATAATTTTTGTTACCCCCATCCCACCAACAACTAATCTTGTATAGTCTTTATTTGCTGAAATTGGCAAAACCAGAGAAGGCGTCCGTCTTTGGCATGGAGCCCGGAGCCCCGCCCGGCATCCCGGCGCGCATCATGGGGGCGGCGCTCATGTTCATTCCCACCATGCCTTGCGGTGGAGGCTGCTGCTGCATTACTGGAGCAGGCACGCCGAAGTGCTGCTGTTGCTGCAAGTGCGGTGGAGACATCATGCCAGCAGCCGGCTGCATCCACGGAGAGGGACCCGGCGCCCCGGGAAACTGCATGCCCTGTGGCTTAGGGACGGCGGGCGCTGGGGTCCCACCCAGCGACATGTTCCCAAAGCCCTGGTTCAGTGAATTCATCGGCGGCTGCTGCATGGCTGTGTACATGTACATGCATAAAACATAAAAATAAAATAAAAATAATTGGTGGATTTTTCTTCTTCGTCCACTACGAGTTTCAAATTAGACTTCACAAACGTTATGAGGACGTTATCCCAAGATATGATATGCTGGTTACAGTCAAGAATGCATACATGTTAACATATATAGATGCTTAACAATGTACGTATGGGAAATGGATACATCAAAAAGTACAAATGTATAATATTTATAACTGTACTACAAAAAAGATTGTATGCAGAATTGGCCTTGATACAACCTAAGCAGATTTGCTTAAATACATCTAATTTATAAAAGTTAATAATTCATATCTCAAATATGTTTCATGGAAAATGTATTTTAAATAATAACCAATTAAATACTTTTTTTTACATTACTCACAGTTTAAAACCATACAAAGAGGGCTCTCCTGTTAATGCACTCCCAAACTTAGGCGTCCAATGGGTCCCTAAACCACTCATATCATGTGGAAAATTATTTAATGCTGGATATATAACAGCAGTGACAGGGAAAAAAAACGAGTTTGGGAGATACATTTTGGCAGTCACAGCTGAAACGGTGAATTAATTATTTACAGCCGACATTGCTGCTTAAGTGGTGCAGTCCAATTGGTCTTGTAACTCAAACCATAGCAGAAGAACCTACCTTGTTGCTGCATAAGGGCATTGATGGAGAGCTGAGGCGCCTTGGATGGCTGTGCGTAGGGGCTGAGTCCCTCCAGGCTAATGTTAACTCCACCACTGTCGGACCATGTCGAATTCTTGGCACGGTTGTCCAGGCCTCCTGCGTTCATGTTTGCCATCGGTTTCATTCCGGACATGGGCTGCATAAACTGTGACAAAAACACACAACAAATGGACGGACACACAAGTGTACATGGTAGTTTTGTGAGAATGCGGGGAGAGACTTTCCAAAGTGTCTATTATTCACAGGATCTTGACAGATGGCAGCAGCTTGGGGAGACTTTCATCCAGCAGTGGATAGACCAGAGCTGATGACAATTACGGTGAGCATTGCAAACACAAAATTCGGATGACAAACTGTAATAGATGTGCAAAATTTAGTAAAATCTGTCAGATGATCTTTGTCTCTCACCTGCATGCTTTGTTGAGGGTTTATGCCAAAAGTTCCAACTACTCCTGGAAAGGCCAAATTTTGCTGTGGCTGCTGGAGGCCAGAAAAAAGGTTAGGATTTGTGCTGGACAATGGGATACTCGGTCCAGGCTGCATTTCTCCAAAAAGGTCCAGGCCGGCACCACCATGATTCGTCGTAACATGCTGCATGGAGGCGTTGCCTAATAGGTCATCACTTCCACCACTCAAGGCAGCAGCAGCAGCAGCAGCATTGGGACCTTGGCTGAACGCATTCCATCCTCCCTCAAAGCCACTGTTGGCACTGCCAATGGCCACTGGAAAAAAAGATCAAAATGTAATAGCTTCAAAACATACAGTTCAAACAAATACAGGTTATTTAGAGTGAAGTGAAATGAAAACACAATAGACCCTGCATTTAAAAGTAAATGTGGTGACAGGTACAGCTGGTGAGTTCATTTCTTAGCTTGACATAAATCGGTTAGGGAAGTCTGGCAAGAAGCTAACTCTACATTCCGCCCCAATAATTCTTTCTTAAGCACTTGCAACAATGGCCCACTCATTTTAGGCTGGACCATCCTCAGGGAGGCCTTTGGTCAGACAGAAGCTTAACTCAAACTTTGATCAATATGGTTGAGTAGGAATACGATACACAAAGCCACAGGGCCCACCTCCCCTTTTATGGAGATTTACAACACACACAGATAAAGCATAGTTACACAGAATCTGCACACGAGTGTAAATCGCATGAGTTTTTCTAAACAGCTAATCCTATCCTAACTTCCGTACGATAAGAACATCTTTTGTCCAACAATGCGTGCAAAATCCCTTAAGCATAACATTGGCTTAAAATGCAAATATTTGTCTACCATCAATTCAAGCAATGGCTCAGCAGTTTCAGAACAGTGTACGGAAATACTTCGGCCCTTAACCAAACGCAACACTAAGAAGGGCATATGACCCACAGTGCCCCCCCCCCATCCTTGCCACCAAGAGCAGAGACACAATGTGAGAGGGGTTTTTAACCCCCCCCCCTCCCCAACCTTCTCCCCCTACAGGAAATGGTGTGAAACGGTGTGAAGCAATGTGTGCAGGGATCACAGGCTAAAGGTTACGTCAAAAATCTGTCACTAGCCCTGAGCAAAAATGAGAAATGTGCCAAAATTAAGGTCTCTTATAGTCAGGTTAAATGCTTTTAAGCACTGCATAAAGAAGCTCTTACATTTTGAAACTTTAAAATTTGTCAGCAAAAGTTAAAAACACAGAAGCAAATTAAGATTGTCAAGTGACTCTTGTGTTTTTTCTTTCAATATTCAAATGTTAACCTCTCCGATGCTTAACCTTGAATAATGAGGCAATTTTGATGCCAATGTGCAGTAACAGGGTGAAATGTGTAAGGCCAACCTTGTGATTGGGGGAAGCTGGGAGCCATGGTTGGGGGTCCAGCTTCTTGGAATGCAGTAAAGTCTGCAAAGAGGTCTGCCAAGGGCAGAAACAGCATGTGAGCATTGTAATGCAAAGTACATAGTGGAACATGTTCAACTACAAAGATCGAAATCATTTAGAAATTGGTTGGCAACACATTTAGGGTTCATGGCCACACGCACTCAATGGTAACAACAAAGGGTAGATGCCTAGCAGGGCTGGGAGGACTCTGCTCACCCAAAATTGTTATGTCACTGCTCTTTCAAATTGGGTCACACGATAGCTGACGGCAACCACCATCGAAACACATTCCCTCTTTACGACTTAACGGCTCACTGTTTGTCATGATCTTGATTTATCTAATATTTAACATAGTTACATTTTTACTTGGAAAAGTAGAGAAATACGAGTAGCTCTGTTTCGCAGCATGCGCACGTCAGGTGTGTCCAACGCGTTGATGGATAGTTTTCCATGCAATGCACGTCATGTTTATTGGCCACACATGAAGTATGGAAGTGGGGTGGGGGGGGGAAGGTGGCAGAAACACTCAGCCCATCCCTGCCCACACTGCAGAGCTTAGCGCAAGGCTGGCGAAGTGACCTGTGCCAGACGCAGAGTGGGTCGGAGCGGTGCCCGTGAAGCCTGGGTCAAAGAGCAGGTCGGCAATGTCACCCGTGGACTTGGAGGTAGTGGCGATGGTGGTGGTGGTGATGGCGGGAGCAGACGCAGCAGCCACGGCGGCCAGTGGAGTGGGGGTAGCCTGCAAAACATGCACCACCACCATCATAAATTATTCAGCAACCAACATAACATTCCAAAAAGAAAATCTTGACCACCACTCATAATTTCAGCCAAGGTCAAAAAGAGTCAACGTGGCATTTCTCAATGAAACAAGAAGTGGTGGGTTGATGCTCATCCTGCTTCGAGCTAAGCCGGTTGTGGAATATACAGTTTTCAGGTGGGGGGTAAGTCCATTTTGATCAGATCTGGGAGAAATTAGGGATTGAATTGAACCCCAACTGGTATTTGAGCTCGCAGAATTCTAATAGCACACAGCATAGTTCTAACTGCTTCGTACATGTACAGCTGCTTTGTCAGTCAACTGCTGGATGAGCGTCTCCCCACACCCTGAAGGTCATGAGGCTTAAGACCATGCACCACACTTGAAATTGCAGAACCACTGCACTAGCTGGCCTTATTAATAAAAAATATGAATAAATAAAAAGGCTAAAAAGTAACAAAAAGAATAAAAAAAGATAATCTGCTTTCATTAAATTCTGAATATAAACTAGTAGAGTAACTATATTGTGTGTTTTTTTCTTCTTTACAGACTGTATAAATACAACTTAAGGAAATAAATCCTTTGACCTAAACAGACATATCTGCCATCAATCCCAGAGGTCTCTGCTGCAAAGGCTCGGTAACGAGAAATGCGGAGACAAAGAGGCAGCATTTATTTGGGAGTGATGAAATGAAAAGGGGTGTGAAAAAAAAAGTCTTAATGTCACCCATTAAACCAAAGCAGCATCAATTTGTATGATCCTGCCCTTGGGTACAGCTATTTATACGGAGAGGTCAGGCAATGACTTTGCTGCTGTATCATTTAACAATAGTGTAAAATAAGGCTTATTTAACTCTGGGTTTCAGCGCAAAGATAAACGCACGCAAAAGCTCCATCAAAAATGGGGAGAAAAAAACGAATCTTCATTAATCACCTGCGTAAGTAACTATTGCACAAGATAAATCATTATCTTTCCAGGGCTATGGGTTACCCACTTTAAAGAAAATCTGCATAGAAATGCAAAGCATTCACAGGGTGACAAAAACATAACTTAATTTAAGTTTTATCGCATAAACAGATGGGAAGGCGGGCAGATGCCTGGCACTGCATCCAGTCTGAAAAGGTTAAATGGCTTCACAGTACGTGTAAGCACTACACAGCTGTGTTTTACCGAGCATCGCTGTGCCACATCCGTTTCATATGCTCACAACATCTGATGACCTCGAAAAATGGATCTTGCCAGCTGTGCTTAAAATCATGTCTACCTCTAATCACATCCAGTCCAGATGCATGGATGGGTTGAACAAGTAAAATATAACTGGGGGATTTTTTTTTATATGCTATATATTCAAAAGTAGCAAAAGTAATAAAAAATGCATGCTTTCAAACAAGTTAAACATGTCAAAATTAAGAAACTATTGTGTAATCATTTGGAAAAAAGTTAAAACGTACCCTTACCCATGCATATATTTATATACATAGTGCATGGAGGTGTTATTGTATAATATTTGCGTGTACACTTAGGTAAGTAAACATTCATACAAGTACGCGTGCATGTGCAAGTATATGCACACATAACCATGAGGCACACAGTTCAAACTCGTATACGGACATAAAGTAATCGAAGGAAATGCAAAAAGATGGAAGGGTGCAAACACAGACATCCACAGGACCCAAAAAGGCACATGCCAGCTGCACTCATCGGAGACGGTACAGTGCATTGCACTGCTGTGGCGGGAACAGCTGGGGCCTCAGCTTGACAGCAGATGGAGGGAGCGTAGCCATAGGGTACAGGGCGAGCGAGAGGGAGACAACGGAGAGAGACGAGGGCAAAGCGGTGGAACGGGCCCATTACCCAATTTCAAACAACAACTGTTCGGCGCCGAAAACTGCCGCTGCCAACAAATAGCTTTCAGATGCCAGTTGTTTCAGCCTATCAGCCTAATGACGGGAAAATAAACGGATTCTAATGGGGTTTATCTTTGACGCACAGCTGTGCTGCAATGTGTTTAACGTTTACTGGGGAAGGAGGATGTCTCCCCTGTTGCTCGTAGGCAAGCACATTTCATCCCCGTACTTTAACGCATCAGATGCCTCAGCTAGCCTAAATGAGGCAGGGACAAAAGGACTGCTTTGTTTTTTAGTCGTAGAATTTTTTTTTAAGTGGATCCTCAATTAAATGTCTTTAAAAAGTACAAAACTAAATTACTGGAATTTTTACGTAATGCATAAATGCAGCAGCACATATTGTGAGAGCAGATTTACAATACGTGCATACAATGGATATGTGCACATGATATTAAAAAGTCGTGTGTGCGTGTGTATGGCTATGTTCCACATCATATGATATCAGTCATTTGGTCACTCTTGCTTACAAATAAAAGTCCATCATGCAATGAACGGTTCGTAAGACAATATGCAAAACTGGAACCAAATAAAACTTATACGAGTCGTACATGATGGGCAGGTCAGTGGTTGAACAGGTAAGTTGTGCATGACATTTAAAGACGAAAACCATTAACTGATGAGTAAAGCAACAATTAGTGACAAAAATTTGATGTAGCTTGTAATTTACTTGTTTGGTGGTGTGGTATGGTGTTACATGTGGCACACGAGCAATTCATTATGTGAACAATTAGTTGCAATGAAATCTGGATTTCCAAGCCAACAATGGAAATATTGCATATACATATGTTCTCCACGCAATATTTTTTTTTAATGAAGTTGCTTAATGTTATTTTATATGCTTTATAAAGGGTACATTCGTAAATTAAGTTAAAATACATTGTTTAAATTAAAAGTCTTATTTTTAAACACTAGGTTAATTCTGAACTATTAAGCACTAAATATGGCATTGAATGTAAAAGGACCTTGACATTAAACCACGAAAGTCAACTTCCTTCAATATTGTAATAATCTCAAAATAATGAAACAAAATCTTACCAAATGGTCACGCAGACTACTCGGTAAAAATAAGCACGGAGCAAACGTCAAGGTACGCACGCAGAAGCTCCTGCGTCAAGTAGCAGGATACGCGCACGTATGGGCACGCACCAAATAACCCCCATCGCGCACGCACCTGCGTTTTGACCGGAGCGGGGCCGCCGCCCTTCTTATCCCCGCCCTTGTACTGCGTCGCTGCTCCCAGGTCCACCATCTTGGAGGGTACGGCCGGGCGTTTTTTGCCGGCCGCGCTGCCCTCGGCCGCGCTGCTCTCGGCGGCCGCCTTGGCGGAGGCGGCGGAGCTCGAGGCACCGAGGTCGGCGTCGTCGTCCTCGTAGGCGTTCTTGCTGCTCGAGCTGTTCCGTCGCGGCTTGTGATCCTCCTCGCTGTCGCTGCACACCGCGCACACGGGGAGCCAGCAGACATCTTCAACACGTGTTGCCCATCGTCCCCCCGCTTGTGGCGGCGAAATGAGCCACCGACACTGCGCGGTGTCACTTAACGTCGTCGTCCTCATCATCATCCGTGATAAATCCACTGCTGTAGAGGACGCAGCAAAATATGTATATGCCTAGGATACTGAAGGCAGACAGATCAAAATGATGAAAGAGTCCGTTGGAGTCGCGAATGTATTTTGTATAAAATGCCACATTATCAAGGCATAATTTGCAACTGAATGTTTTATTAATTGACATAATACAGCAATGCTGATAACTGAAAGGAGCCACAATCAAGCCAGCTGTTAGGTTGAAAGTGTCACCGTCCTTGACCTGTTCATCTACAATCTCATATGCACAGGTATGAAATTTAATTATTAACAGGTAATCATGTAATAGGTTTTTTCCCCCCACAAGCAGTTAAATGTTTCCTAGAGCCATGTAAGAAGTAAGGTTATAGAATGCACCTTAGGCCCTGAGTAATATTACCATTCTACAATTGGTTTTACATAAAATTACTATGCAACATACTGCAATGGATTGAGAGAGGAGGCAGTATGTAGAGACACTCCTTAGAGGCAAATGTTATTTAGATTTCCTAAAACTGTGTACACATAGCCAGTGCTTTCCATCGACCAAGTACATTTTTTTTATAATAAATGCTCAATTAGCTTTACTGAACACACCGGGCCAAGACAGTGGAAAACTTAAGATTGGATTTCTTTTGGTTATGCTGGATTTCATTAAAAAACATTAAACAGAAGAAAAAATAATGATGCATATGGATTTTTTTTTTTAAGCAAAGCTTGGGAAAAATTTGTATATTGTGGGTAGAAACAGGGGTAGAGAGGGAGGAGACAGGTACATGGAGCACTCAAGGATCAGAGTTTTTATAGGAAATCGCACACACACCTATCACGGTACTCCTTTTGTTTTCGCCGAGGCTTGTCGGAGGATTCGTCTTCATCGTGTGTGGGAGGTTTTGGACGTTCCCAGTCATCGTCATATCGCATCTTGGGTTCCGAATCGTAACGATCGTCTACAAAAAAAATCATCCAGTCACGTTTACTCCATTTTCGTGAATTAACTTTTAAAAGCCAAGTTAAACAATTGTGACGGATATAACCACGCAAAAATTAGGGGTAGGGGGATTTATGCCATTTCTATAAATATATGGTCATGAAAATGTTTTATTAGTTCTCAAAAAACTGATTTTTACATATTATATAGAACACATGCTCGACCAAGCACTCCCAAAAAAACTGCATTGGACTGCGCCAAATTGTTGCACAGTAAACGGAAGAACATCCTTTCTGATAAGTTTATACAAATAAATGCAATAGCCATCATTAAATGCACAGAACATCCTTTCTTGAGACTAATTTTCTCCGGCCCTCACGAATCAAGCGGAATTGAAATTAAATGTGAGGAGGCCAATTTTCCCGCTGCAAATCCCCGGTCTGCCTCCTGACTTTTACTTGCGATTTGCTCTCCAAACACTGGCACTAATTTAGGCTGCAGCACTGGGATCAGGGGATTCACTCCGCTTGCCAGCCATCTTTCCGTAGATTAATACGCCCAGATTAAACATTAAAAAGAGGGGATTTAGGAGCGTTAACTTGGGAAAATTCTGCTTTGAACCTTAAATACACAGCGGGGATACTGAATATTTGATTAAGTTGTGCTTAAAATTAATTTTGAGGGCACGCGGAGATTCAATAAGGCCAAACACACTAGCCGGATGATAATTTTGCTCCAAGAGCTCTAGCTCTTTTTAAAAAGGTGAGAAATGTTACTCCGGAATGTGCACTTACAATTATGAAAATTGATTATACTGTCCACCAGATGAAATTTAAAGCCTTTATTTTGGTAATTATATTTTAAATTAGTATAAATAGCTTAAAAACTAAATTTAGATATCACTGCTTAAGAAAAGTATTGTTCACAATTTTAATCAATTAGTAAGCACATTTGTAACAATGCAAACTTACAGGCGCGTGCATAATCTGCACTAGGTATTAATATTCCCCACCGAAAAACAAGACTTTGTACAATTTTACCATTTTCACAGTTTTCATCAATGTACTTTTGTCATTCCCCACTCCCCCCAGATGTCGGTCCGTACTCACTGTAGCCAAAGCGCGTGTCAGAGGACACCCCGATGTATTTATCTCGATGTTTCTTGGCCTTCTTGCGCTCCTCGCGTACACGCTCGTCGTCCTGGACAAAGTCGATCATCTCCTTTACCTTCTGCCTCACGTTGACGCCCTGATCTTTCCCATTCTCGTCTGTAACACAGTTGGGGGGGGGGGGGGGGGGGGGAAGAACCCACAAAGTAAAAAAACATGCTCGCCACATCAGTTGACTGATATTATTATCTGTTTAACGAGGACGAAAGTTGATGAAGGCAGGTCTAATTCCTATATATATGAGGAATACATACCCTACATTAATAGGAACAAATGTTAAGATTTTAGATGAGTTATGGACATTGGTACACAGGGGTGGAATCCAGTGTTATGTAATTGGATTAAGAACATTACGAATAAATGCAGGTTCAACCAGGAAATAAACGGAAGATAAAAGTAAATATTTGTTTAAATCATAATTAGCCATGATCAATATGCTGCTGGATAAACAAGACATGGTATGCATAAAATAATACTAAGGAACCAACTTTGTAAAATTAAATTAATGCACATTGCCAGTAGATAAACATTTGTTATACGTGCATGATATGTTTATGGCAGCCTCGAGGGAAAGATTTTGCATCCACATTTTTGCCTCGTGAATTCACTAACTAAAAAAAATATTACATCTTATTTTAATAGTAGTCTTTGGTTTGTAATCACAATTTACAGTATTGGTAATTATACCATTACATTAGGAAGCGGCTAAGCTGGAGCATAGAAAAAAATATGCGTTTTTCCGAGAAGAAATATTTATATATAAAAAAAACACCAACTGCATATGAGCAATAATGAGATAATAAGGCACGGAATTATCCCGCCGTATGCCACGCTGGAGTTCCTGAGACATTGCATGCGTAAAATAAAGCACGTTTGCACAAGATTTAAAGGCACCGTCATTTTTTTTTGCTGTCATTGCATCAAGCCTGCTAACGGGGTCCCCAGACACCTCACACTCATCTCCCACACGATGACCGTAGGGAGTCTCGCACCCGTTTGAAAATCCGCAAACAATTACGTGACGTTGGCGCACCGCTATCAAACCTCGATGGCCCCCCTGCTGAGCTGTGGCCGCTTCGAGTAATTAATACTCCGGGGGGTGGCGTGGTTGGGTGCACACGCACGCTATTTGTTCGTGCATGTGTGAATCTGTTTACGCCTGCAAGCATCCATTTGCTTTGCACATTTGTACGTCCCACCCTTGTGGTGGTGAATGAGCGGAGGTGAACAAACGAAATCACGTCGCCCTGAAAAAATATGCGATCCGGTGTTATTGGTCGGCTGCTGTGTATAAGACTCGGCGAGAATGTGAACAGCACAGATATGAGCCGCTCGCAGTATAAACGGGCCTTGTCATGCAAGAGCAAAGAACAAACCATATAGTCAAATAATAAACAATAAAACAACTACACCCACATTGCAAGCTTACCAATTACAGCGATTCCCTGCTTGTGTGGAAAAAAACGTGAAAAATCTTGAAACAAAGAAAGCTTGCGTTTCCTTGAATTTCAACAGCCTCATTTTCACGAGACTTTGAAATCCCAGACCACACGATGGCGATGTTTGGCAGGGGGAAAACCACTCCTGCAAGTATGTGCATCTCATTGAGGAATAGTGTCCCCTCCCCCCCCCCCGTTTAAGTCGTACCAACAAAGTGGTAGTCCTCCAGGGAGCGCAGGTCATACAGGTGCTCGCGTGCACTTGTGACCACGCGCTCAGAGCCATTGCGCAGCAAGTACGTCAGCAGCAGCAAACCCTGCAAGATATAAATGTTTTAAGGATTCAGACAGATGGGGGGGGAGTACTTTTACGCTCATATATTCATATATGGTTTAGTTATTTGCCCCGTGCAAATGTTTTATATATCTGTTTAAAGCACCATCCCGTGACATTTTACTGCCTTTTGTTTGGTTTGTTTTCAGCCAATAATTTAATTTATTGCTGAATTTGAAGTCCCGCAATATGACGAGGGCCATTTTAGCAGTTGCCCAAGTCGTAGCTTGTGGATGTTTTACATCACTTGGTGGCAGCTTAACACCCTCAACGATCATCTGTTACGAGTTTGCATATTGAAAAGCAGCTGCTTTCTTTCCCGCATTAACTAATTTGTATGAAACCAGGCCAGTGGTTAACAAGCATGAAACATTAGCATTATAATAGGGCCGACGCATTTGTCATTTACACAATAGGGGGTGCAATTATTAATTGGGATTTTAGTGATGACATTTTTTGTTACCGCTTACAAGTTGTATTTTTTGCAATTACGACTAAAATACTCTTCCCCATATACATTTCACTGGCGTCGCATGTTCTTTGAAGCGATCAAGTAGGGGGAACACACGAGGGGGCACTGATTCACTGGGAAATATGGCAACATGATTCGTGGCCTCAAACCAGGTTTGGGAGACTGAATTTTAGGGGCCTTGGTAAAGTGAGGGTCACAACCAAGACCAATGTTTATTGCCGTAACACCCGAGCACATAAATGTTTGCAATTAAACATGTTTAATGAAAATATTCAATGATAAAAAACAAGTTTGTGAACATTTTTCAAATCATATAATTTGGTATTTCTTAAAAGGAAAATGGTTACTCTTCTCCAAATGCAACCTGCTCACCACCCCCTTCCTTACAAAAGGGTTCCCCCCCCCCTCAGTGGTCCTTCATCAGGCTCTAAATAAAGGAATGTCATTAATTTAATTTGGCACCCTTTAAAGTGTATCATATTTAGGCTTACCATTGAGTATAGGTGCCGAGCTTTACCCCCTTATTAAAAAAAGGTTCAAGAATTTACAAACACAATGAAAGAATTTATATTGCGCTTTATTCTTAGCAAGCCAGTCCAATTTCGATTTAAAGCTTTCGTGACTGCAGGGTTTCCTCTTTTTGGTTCTTTCGGTAAAGACACGTAGAAGGGAAATAATAAAAGAATAAAACATAATAAAATAAAATTCTCAGCGTCTTTCCAACAGCTCTGTTTCTTCACCTGAGGACGGCTGTTTGTGTTGTGGCCGAAACGTCGTGATAATTTTATTATGTTTTATTTTATTTCCCTTCTACGTGACTTAACCGAAAGAACCAAGAAGATGAAGGCCAGTCCAAATTTTGCAATTCTAATTTTACGAAGAATAATTGAACTGTAATAAAAGTGTAAAAAAATGTAAAAAAAATAAGTGAAACAAATATTGCAAGGGGGCACACCTTGTATGCCCTACGCCAGTTGTTTTTGTTTTCACGCAGCATCCGTGCCCACAGCATGTTCATCACCTCCGGAAACAGCTCGTACATAAACGTCGCTCTGTGGGGTGGAAGCAGCAGCAGCAGGGGGATGAGTCAATCTGGAAGCCTCGGAGCGACTGCTCCGCCAGGCATAGCTCCCTCAACTCTCGAGTTCTTGTCTCCACCGTTCAACACGTACTTCGATGATAAACACCAAGCTGACAATTTTAATTATAACATTGACAGAGGTAGCAGCAGCGACAACAGAGAGCACGGGCATCAATTACCTGTGAAATTAGGAACAGCGGTAATAATGATTATGATGTTCCAATACCAACAGTTACAAGGGTGAAGGATAATTTTTACAATTATAGTCAGCAGTTACAAATCAGCTGTTAAACTGACAACGAATATAATAACATCATCATCATCATAACATCTGTTACCTGCACCACCTATTCTCAAATATGGTATCACTCATCATTAAACAACAAATAACTCCACAATTGGTAAAAGGTCAAATAAAAGAGGTAATACAATCATAACAAAGAATTGTGCTTTGTTTGCACAGAGCTCTGTGTAGCATGCACATTTTTTTTCCTGTTACCTTTTATAATAATCCCAAAGCAAAGCTTTGGGGTATAATCTTCTGCACAGCACTTGCTACAGCCTGCATCGTACAAAAACTGCCTTCCACATTGCTGCAGGAAACACTAAACAGAACCTTTCCAAATTGGCAGCTTTAGAGGTCAAGTAATTATAAGACTGCAATTACATGTTAAATACCATTTGACAAGATTTGTTAAACAATAACATCACACAGTTCAAAAATGATGTTAGAATTAAAAACAAAACAATCTGGAACAGCCAGTTCATTAAATGGGTCTTAACATTTTTAGTAAAAGTAAAATTCAAGTTGGACTGAGTGCAGTACATTTTGTGCCTACACAAGGCAGTACATGCTGTGAAGTGAATTAATTATTCATGAATCAGTAACACGCACTTAATTTGAACCATTGCATTCATTTTGTTGTAAAACTCAAAGCGCGAGCATTCAAGTCCACTCCGGAAGCCTGGTATCACAATTATATATATAACACAGCACTCGTATAAGCGTTTTAACAAAAACATTACTAAATTGGACAATGTATTTTCTTCATTGAATGTCATATTGGCTGTGTGAATGCAATTAATGAGCAGTAACCTTACATTTGTAAGTCTGTTTTGTTCGTATCATAATTTGCGGAAAATAACCTGCATTTTTAAATGACAATTTGGGGGACTGGCGTTTTAATTAGTAGAAACTATTGAATGGTACAGTGACCATTACCATTGAATTTTGGTGAAGTCCAGCTTAGATTTTTTCTTAAATGCTTGTGTTTTTTGTCAAGTTCTACTTGAGCGAACACGAGACATTGTGCAAAAAATCCCAGATCTCCCTGAAGGCGCAATAACTGGCTCCACATGGCCGAGGTATGCGCTTTTGCAAATTAAACGACATGAACTTCATTAACACTGCTTTTTTTCCCCCCAGCTTTCCTTCCAGAAACCGGTGCGATTTTGACGGATCAGGGCTTTGCGTCCGGCATAGGAAGTGAACGGCAATTTTAAACATTTTTTAAAATTATATTTTGCCACCCCCATCTCCCCCAACCCCAATGACCCGAACCACCACCAAACGCCCCCTCACTCCCACCACCCAAACTCCTTTAAATTTACAATGCCACCCCTACAATGCCAAGCCAGCACCCTCCCACCACCACCACCACCAATCCATTTCGCTGGCCCCCTTCAAACTCAGACCCCAACAAACCACCCCATACTCATTAACCGTGACCATGGATTGCAGGAAACGGCCTGTGAGGGCGCGAAAAATCTGTTTATCCAGCTGCAGACGTGTCAGCGCAAGGCCCAAACGACTGACCTCATGGGCCCCCGCCGCTTCCTCTGTTGCGCAGTTGTCATTTTTTACCAAACCCCCCCCTTCCCCCCGTGACATACAACCTATCAAAATACCGCTAAATAACACAAGGAAGCTCAGTCTTGATAAAATGTATGGTAGTGTATATGTATTTTTTAATTTCAGTTAGGAATTGAAGAAGATAATTTAGTGCGTGCCACCGTCACTGCAGCAATTCAGCAGGAAAAGTTGTGAATGCTCTATTAATAGCAATGATGATATTTCCTCCCAACAATTGTAACCCAGGTTCAGGATATTTTTTTAAACATGTTTACATTTTAAGAAGGAAAGGATGTTTCCATGTGATATTTTTTTTTTTTAGATGTGCAAGATTTAGGTTTCAGTGAGATACAATGCACACTCTTTGTACGTGACATTTTTCAACAAATCCAACAATTTAGTTGACTAACATTTCAAATGCATTTAATAAGCAAATCGCACAGAAGTGCAAAAGAAATTGTCATACCCGATTTAAAACAAAGACATGCAATACATGTAAGAGAACCACTGCAGAAAGTAAAACGCTGTACATAAAAAAAACAAAGTGGTGCCCTTATTGTTGATTATTTTCCTGACCACTTTAACCAAGTATTTGATCAGCAGGCCCTAATACTCACTCTCTGGCACTCGAACAACACAATACACGGGTGAATATGGTTGGCTCAGAAAGAATGCATCCTGCTGTGCCCAACATTTACAAAATCTTTATTCGCGAGCCTTTGAGATAGGTGCAGCATCACAATGGGGCGACACTATTCTCAAGGGCTAGTCACCGGACGTATGCCATCAAACGCTCTGGTAATAATGTAGACCTATGCGATTGTCATGAAGGAAAATGTATCACCATAAATTTGGCAGATAAGTGCAAAAAAAATGTCAAGGGTGGCTTGACGACGCTTTCAATTTACTTGACTTTGAACGATGCGTATATATTTATGGAAACTAAGCACATATGGTAATGGTCTGCCTCATTTTTTTACGTGACTGGCCATAAGCCAGCTTAAAAAGTAAGGCCTTATGGCAATAAAACCAATTTTTATGCTTAAGGTCCATGCATGGCATACATGCTGTAATATTATGCTTTCACAAATGTCCAGATGCCAATGCAAATATATAAACAATATAAAAACCACTATAATTGCAAAAATAAAAAAAGCTTACTTAAGCAGGACAAAAGTTAAGCCCCATCTATTTATTGTCACCGACCGTTCGAAAACATTTTAATTCAGTAGTCTTATCAGGTTGCATGAATTACATAACTGAAATCTGAGAACATAATATTTCTGGCATACGTAACTGGCAAATAAAAACTCAAGCAGTAAGAGCCCCGAGTAGGCGTCCTTGGGAATAAAACATCTTCATCCCATTGGGGGTAGCGGAGCTAAAAAAAAGTATGTTATACGCGACACAATGTTTTCAGAAACATGAATTAGAAATGTCAATATCCCCCTAAACCTATCCTAGTTGTGCTCAGCCTCACGTTCATCTGTTAATGTGTCAAAACAACAATTGAGTCACAAGAACGTGTGCACGCTCACAACAGGGAATTTAAAGTGCTATCTTTTACGCGTTCGATGTTTGTTGCAATTGATTAATCTGCTAACTTTATTACAACTTGTGATATTTCACCTGAATCCTAATATACACACACACATACACACTCATGATATCAATTCACAAGCTCGATGCACATTCCTGGGTGGTGGTGTCTTGCAAAAAGCATAGAGCAGCTCTACATCTCGGATCACATGAGACACAAATCAATGTACGTTTGATGCACTGCCTGCAGCTCCGCCACCACGCATTCAACATTTAACTGGCAACCTCTCAGACTTGACTGAGAGTGCCGACTGTGAGATGACCCTGCCGGCCACGCCCTGAAGGATACACTTGTTAGAACGGCGAATGAGCACATGTGCTGCAGTGACACTTCCAAGACGTGCAAATACTCAAGGCCAGCACAGCTTTAGAATCTTAACAATAATGGCATTGGCATTGTGATATACGTTAAATGCAAGGTCTTTTCAATACAAAAATCCACTACATGTCTGTTGAACTTATTTCGCACCGAACGTAGCCAGCCATGCTCATCGAGGCCTATCTTTACCCATGATAGGCCTTCAGTTTAATGAATAAATAGCTGAAAACAGGAAATGTCTATTTATTTGTATAGAAATATACACTTCATATCTCAGACTGGATGCGACCTTGGCACAAGACAGCAAATGTTAACACGATACAAACTGGATCTGATGAGGCTATGCAGCTTCATTACAATTTGAGTGAGGCTACCATTACACAATTAGCAATTTCAAACTGTGATTTATACGGCATCGAGATTCAAACATCAAGATGAAGTACAGCAGAGATACATGGTTGTGGCCTAACAATGTATAAAACATGACACAGAGGTAGAAAACAACTGTAATAAATAATAAACAAGGTCTTACCCTTTCCATAGCAAAACAAAGTAAAATCGCTTTTCCTCCGAATCAATGTTCACCAATGTCATGGTCCCTGATTGATGGAAGTGTTTCTTCTAACCTCTCCTTCCTCCTACCTCTAAACTACAACCCCTAAAATTTAACTGATGTTGCGAGTGTAATATAATACATAATTTACTTGAAATGCTTGGCAAATTAATTGTTGTGAGATCATTTTTCCGACAAGCTGTTAATTTGTTTCAGGTAAGATAACACTTTATGTCATTGATTGTAAAATATTAAGTCCAAATCCTATGATCTCTTAACTAAATGATTTATCAATGTGAAATATAGTTGTATTTTAGTTGCACTTTTTACCTCGGCATAGTGTGTAAAAGCTTTCATTGTATTAAAACAAATTTATTACATCCATGTCAAGCAACTTTCACATTATGAGGTAATTTCAGGTAAAATTCAATCTTTTAAAATTGCACAACAATTTAAAACCTTTCCGGTTATTTTAGGTTTTATGCATGTACAATTAATTACAACAATGCAAAACAAAGTTTCAGAAAAGTATAATTATTGCAAGCTCAAAATATGCCCCAACCATTCTTAAGTCATTACCATTTATTATGCACCGGTTTCAATTCCTGTAGTTTATTAACAAAACATTTGCTAACCTACCATTTCACTGTAATAATTTAAACGAAACCTACCCTTGTCAACCCATTTTCCAACAATTTCCCCAACTACACAAGTCAAAACTGCCTAAAAATTTATACGCCACCACATAATGGAAAATCATGCCGGACATCTGCAAGCAGTTACCGATACAGTACAATTACACGCGGACACGTTTTTATAACGAACTTTTGGTACAATTATGAGGCGGTTAGCACAGCTGGTCTCCCAGTGGTCCAAGTACCACGGTCAAATCACCCACAATCCCCGAGGGGCAATGATGTAGGGATGTGGTACAAGCCAAGTGGCAGGAGCTTAAAAGCTACATACAGTCAATGTTAAACGAAGCCTTTTTAAATTTTTACACGTAAAAAAAAATCACAAACATATACTGTATTTATAGTAAAAAGGAAGCATATAAAACCCACACTATTTATTATTGCCAAAGAAAATTTTATAAAAACGTATGGCAATTGTTTTGGAACTATGAATTCCCTATATGCCCTTAAGACATTTCATACTTGCATTATATGTATATACAACTACAGATATGTAACGCTTACGACTTTTCTCCATTATACTTGCTGTGAAGACGCATAGAACACATAAAAGCAAACAGCTTATTGCACTTGAAAGTCTTCGTACAATAGATTAAGACAACGTAGATTACAGTTACAAAACAAAACTGTCCGATTAAAATGTATAGACAGAAGTAAATATTAAAAAATTATTGGGGTCCAGAATGTTTGCACAGTCCTTCCAGTGTTACTCACTTGGCTATCTCTCCCATGAGTTTCCCAGAAGGTCCCCACGGTTCATCATTGGTGGCCTCCCGCACCTTCGCCTCCATCTCCGTGTAATTCATAACGATGTTCGTTCTGAAACAAATGAAATGCACACACACGCAGAGGCGCTCACACACACCCGACAATGTTAGCCATCATTATTCTCATGTATCCCTCTGTTTAAATCTACGAGAGCCTTCAACCAGAAGTCTATAACTGCATATCTCTTACATGACGACAACGTCGTCATTAGCTGCGTTGAATCAACTGCTGGATGAAGGCCTCCAAGTCTGCAGAAATATTATGTATTCATTATTTTGAAGTGAACAAATGTTCTACCGTGTAATATGAAGGTATATATATGGAGGCATTGTGTATATTGTTGGTCAATTAAATTACAGCTCAAAAACAAAATATAAATTGTATTGCAACATATATATAAAAAAAGTATTAAATAATGTTAAATTACGTGTGCAATTACATAATTCCCAGCTGCAATGTTTGCTGCGATTTATCTCGAAAGTAAACACTGCGGTTTGAAACATCCACAATTAGCTGGTGACAAAAACACAAACAAAAGCATCTACTGTTCCGTACATCTGCCCACCACAAGGTCCGCAATACAAAAAATTACTCCTCTCATTTGGCTCTGGATGCAGGTGTCAAGAAACAAGCAGGCCCTGGGTGCCCCAGGTCCGCACGCATGGAGCTGTAAACCCGCACGCCTCTCTTAACACAGCTCACATTGTTCCCGAGCCTCGGTGCGCTCGCGTTCTCACAGTGGGTTGTTGCAGAAAAAAAAATTACAGCGAAGCATGCTGCTGCTGCTGGGCAATTTGGCTCTTCTAACAGTGAAATGAGCCTAGTTAGCAAGCCTTAGCGGTGCAATTTTTTGCAGAGATGAAAAAAAGTGTTACCGCAGAAACACTGAATTGCTATTGACGAATGTTTTTTTTTTAACCATTCTGGCTGTATAGCAAACATAAGGAATGCGTTTCCCATCTTTTAACGTAGTCAGATTAAGCCCAATCGCATTTAAAGTATGTAAGGAATATTTGACCAATGTATTATAGCAAGGGAATTATTATACTTCAATTTTACTTTATCAGCAAATGTGTCGCATTTCAACACCAAAAGGATATACAATCAGATGACGGCCAATTTGTTACGCTACATAAATATCAGGTTGAAGGTGCACAATGGACAAGTGTCAAATGTTTCGTATGTAATTGGAGCAAAAAAGCCTAACAATACAAAATTCCGCAGCTATTCGAAAGAGCATATTAACAAACAAAAAAAGGAAGTTTGGGGCACATCACAGTACTGTACACAAGCATAACAAGTCAGCTCCAATATGTATAAGATAGAAGGATGAAGCACTTAGGGAGATACACATGCCAGGTCGCATAATCTTGTGTGGTGGCAAGGATGTGTTTTGCTCGTTGTCTTTCGTCTGGGGGATATCCAAAAATGAAAACTAGTGTGTAGTTTAAAAACACACACACACTTGGGAATTATTTAAGACCAAGGGGCAAGACAGCCTTTAAACTACACATTGTAGCCAATATTATCAGGTGGCTACATGACACTGACCTATACCCCTAAGCCTAGTACCTAACGGTTATGTATCCCATTACGCTGCACCTGTGCGTTATAAGAATATTCCAAATATTCATTATTGCACCGATTATACAATAAAAGCTCACGTGATGAAAAAAATCGAAAACTGGCCAACGAGAAGTGAAAAAAACAATACGGAAAGAGTTACAAGACCAACATTCAATTTAAATTTCGAAAATTATAAACATTGTGATAATGCATTCTATTTTTGATTTAAAGCTTTCGTGACTGCAGGGGATTCATATTCTTGGTTCTTTCGGTAAAGTCACGTGACTTTACCGAAATAACTTTACCGAAAGAACCAAGAATATAATGCATTCTGTTAACCAATTTTAAGACAGGAAGCATAGAGTGTCACATACAGCCCTACTGTATAATACTAAAAATTGACTCATGTGACTTGATTCTGGCCTTGCGCTGCCATTCTAGACTAGTAGAGTATGAAGGCAAAACGGATTTGGGATTCAGGCAAGTGATGAAGCATAACATAATTTCCCGTCTCCAACAATGGTGTTGGCTTTTCACCAACTTGAATTTTTTTTTAGTAAATGACACTTAGAAGTAGAACTCTGGCCACGCACATCTTTAACTAATTAGCAACGCTTTAGACTGCATATTGCAAAACGGTGTGCATTACCTGCACCATTAAAGCAGGACAGTATTGTAGAAATATTCGTAAGGCAGTAATCAAGTCGCCAAGCAGATGCAATTGAGGCAAGCATAGAATCGTGTTGAAAAGTCTGAATGCAACCTGCCAAACTCATCAGAACGGAATGCGAAGAAAATGCAGACACGTTAGTCCTTCCCATTTTTGAGTCGATTTTGATGGGGGATTCCATGCCGTTGATTATAGATGCAATGCACCTCAACTAAGTTTTCTTAGGTCCAAACAAATCGAAGTTAACACACCAAGGCGAGAACACTATGCCAATCGCACGCCTACGTTTGAACACCTGTGCACCAAGAATGATTAGGTGCAATTTAATATCGGGATTCCACGGGCGAGAGGGGTCGGGTCGGACATTTCAGCGAGCCAAGAACATTTATGGTCGGCCACTGATGTACAATAAGAAACGGCAGAGCTATAGAGCCCATAGTTACAAGAAGAGACCATGACCCTTGCATGTCTCATCAATATCACAGACCCAAGGGCCAAATGAAGCTTCCAGTTTCATAGAAACTTGAACCCTGAGTTTGATATACTCTTTACTAAAAGTCACACGAACTGTTTATTAAGGATATAATGAATAAATCATTTTTTTCTCAAGTACTGAATTTGCGACTATAATTTATGCTTGATAAAGAAAAACAAATATATTTTAGCGTATAATTTTCAGTGGAAGGAACTAAATCAGACAGGATTATATATAGCATTTAAAATTCAAGCTAATGAATACGAGAAATTTCTACAAAGTTAGATGAACATAATTTGTATTTGTATCGTAGTTATACATGATATACTGAAGCAATGCATTCCAAAACGTTAATCCTATGATCATAAAATGAAAGCATAGCCAAGACATTTAATGAGCATATAATTCTGTCACTAAAATGTCTTGTTAAAAACCGACTAACAAGATATTAATTTAGCAAACAATATTTCAACTGTAATGTAATGATTAAATGTTGTTCCAATGTTCACAGGATTACATAAGAACCTTAAGCGTATATTGTAAATCTCACGTATTAAAGCTGTTAATAAATAACGGAATGTGCAGATAATAATCAACCATTACAATTTTAATCCAAAGGCTCACTTTACTGTACACGTTTGCACAAAACACTAAACGTTAAGAAAACGCATTACGTTTTTCACACATTTAAAATGCTATGCAAAGGGGGGTTACCTTTCGAACTATAATCTTACATTTATGTAACGCTTTAGTATAAAAGTACAGCGATATTTTTAACCAACGTAATACTTTTCATCGCATTTATATTGCAATACCATGTAAAATAGGTTTGAATGAGAAAAAAAAACAGCCTCGCACAGAAGAGGGTATTGAGGACTATGAAGGACACTGAACTGCAGCCCTGGAGAGACTTAAAGAGGACAAAAATGATCACATTGGTGTCTAGTCATCCCAGTACATATTATTTACTCAATGCAATCTCAAACTTGTGCTTTCATTATACAAATATTTGCCGATAATCTCGGTGCAATTCAATTTCCCACCAACGACCCAAAGTGTATTGACTTTACAATTTCATCGTTTAAAAAACTCGCGATCCTAGATTGTATTTTCACACTGTGGGCATTTATGGTACTCCTTGAAAAATGGTGTACAAAATGGGGCATTTTGAGTGTCATGTTTCAGCTTATCATAAAACAATCATACGTGAAGATTAGTATTTTTGTTTAACGCTTTGTGAAATTTAACACGCTTAATGGAGGTAGCTTCTTGTTCATCTCACCAAAATAAAGATAATTTTAAAATTAATACGAGGTAATGTTGACACGTTATAATTTAATGTAGCAGAAAACAGAAATTTAATTGTAATGACGATATAAGTATATAAAATATTACACACATAATTGCTATACAATGTCACTTCTCAGTGACATTACAGGTTATAATGTCATTAGCTGCCTTTATAATGTTATAACATTGTCTCTGTGGTATTGGGAAGTTCTTTGGTGGAGCCTTTCAAAGGTCTGTGCCACTTGTTTAAACATGAATGCTAAATATAACAAGCAAACTGGTTATTATTTTATTCCTCATATTAAACGCACAAAAATATAACACCTAAAAAAATGCTCCATCAGCACTTTACTTAAATGCACTGCTAACTCCGTACTCTCGTGAATATGCACATGACCAAAGGAATAATTTAGCAGTGTAAGTTTTCACCCTCCTTGTAAACAGTAACCCTGACTGCAGCAAACATTTAACTAGAAACAAACTCTGAAGGTACATAACAAAGACAAACATAGGAAAACGTCAATGGTTAATGCCACACCGCAACATATTTACATATGACGGTGTTGATATTATGCACATGTACAGCAATGTTGGAAAAAACATGATATTTTAGCAATTAGGAAAATGACTTCAACCATCCATTATTCTTCGTGTCAATCTTCCAGTTTGGTAACTCTGCATATATTAATATGAGCTCTAACAAGCCAACCATGATAAATAAAACATTCTGTTAACAAATTCATACATGAACAAATTCATACATGTATGTGTACAGTCCTTCAAATTATGCCCAATATTTGAATATATTTTGTATTGGTACAAATCTCTTTACGTACAAAGACACTCTGCACTCCATAAGCAAACACAAAAGTTTTCCATGCTGGTTTAATATTTTATTAACTTGTCTTATGGGGATGCCACGGTGGCTAGATGTTAACTCCCTCGCCGGGTACGCAGGTCGTGGGTTCGATTGCAATCCTAATGCCTGTATATTTTTAGTTTTCACGTTCTCCTCGTGGTCGTGTGGATTTTTCTCCGGGTCCTCCGGTA